GAGAAGAAGAAGAAGAAGAAGAAGAAGAAGAAGAAGAAGAAGAAGAAGAAGAAGAAGAAGAAGAAGAAGAAGAAGAAGAAGAAGAAGAAGAAGTTGTATTACGAGATATACGTTCTCTCTCACAAAAGCCTGCGAACACGCACACGCACACAGGCTCACACATAAAATAGAGGTGGCAGTCTTGCAATAGGTATGACTATGTGTTTAAGTTGAGGCTTTGGCTGAATGTATTACGCTGATGTAAATTAATGGTACATAACTTTTCCCATAGTCTTAGTCTACTCTCTCATACGTTCTTTCCCGGGCACTCTACCCGTTATCAGGGCGTGCACTCCTTCGAGTGTGCGCCTATAGCGAGACGCAAAGAGGCAAGCCCCGGGCAAGGAATAATTGAAATTGCGAGGTATCAGCTGCTGAAATATGAATGGCATTGTGCTGATTACTGGCCGTAGAACGCGGTGAGTGTGTGTAGAAAGGAATACCAGCCTCTATTGATTGAAATGATTGGCATTTCCTTGTTTTCCTCACAGTCGGGCGTCCGATTTCCTGGCATGTTACGGGAGATTACCCGATACCTGTTTGCTTTGCGGGCCTGGTACCAGCTGGGCTCAAGTCTAAGAATGGTTCGGTACTGAGAGACATTAATAATTTTACTACTGGTCTTTTTTTTGGGTCACAATTTTAAGGTTTTGAAATGAATAGTGTTTGGCCACAGCGTTGTAGGTATGTTATGTAAACCGCTTTTCTCAGCTAAGCAGTGTTACATTGTGGAAAAGGTGGGGCGAGGGGGGTAGCCTCTTTCTGCAACAGATGTCTATCTCTGGCTGGTCTTAATATTTAATCAAGGAAATCCCACGTTGCGCATACCCTGACTCACATGATTTTATTGCTAACAAATACAGCAGTTTTCCTGGCTGTTCGAAGTAATCGATGGCATAATTATTGTCGAAGTGTTTATAGAAAACAAATATACTGAAATACGGATAGAAGTGTTTCTTTATATTTTTTATTCGGTGGCTATCAAAACGTAATTACCCTACGTAACGCTAACATGGACACTGCTTGCTACATAATCATATTTGAATAAACTTTCGACACTATTGAAGTCAGAAGTAATACACATGTGACAAGCTGCGACAGTCAGGCCCTTCTTGTTCCAAACCCCAGGTCTCTCAATGCTGAGAGAAAAGAATTATCAGACTTAACCCTAATCGAACGTTGCTGAGTAAACCCTTTGACTTGTCTGCCTTGAGTTTTTGTGGACAGCCTATTTCCTTTGTTTGCCAGCCTTACCCCTTGAACACAATGTAGCAAAATATATGTGGGGTAACTTTGCGCGGAGCGCCCATTAAGAAGTGTACACGCGTTTCACGCTCCTTGATCTGTGAATACCGAAGGCGAACAGAGGGTTTCTTTGTGTGGTTTTCTCTTCGATGACACTGTCACTCCCACGCGCGACTGACTGGGGAAATCGAAATTCGTCCCACATGATCAGTGCTTAGACTCTTAGAGGGCAGAGAAAGGGTAGGGCAGCATTTTGATTTTCGGTTCTGGTCCTGTACTCAGTCTTTTGGGGGTCTGCTAGTATTGTGATGAGTTGGGCAAGAGCAGTGTGTTATGTGCGTGTGTGTGTGTGTGTGTGTGTGTGTCTGTGTGTGTGTCTGTGTGTCTGTGTGTGTGTCTGTGTGTCTGTGCGGGTGCGCGAGGGGTATGATCACTATATTGTCGGTATAAGTTTATAAATTATGTCGAATTATGGGGGCGAATTTTTGTTTAAATCTTGAATGATTGTCTTTTGACTTTTGGAAAATTCTCTATAATAATATTGTACTCATGTTGACTTTATGTTGTCGTCGTTGACACAAATTGTTTTTTTACGATTCTCTTCGTTTTTATCCATTATTGGTAAACACGGAGGCCTAAAAACAAACAAGTAATAAAAAATAAATAAATAAACGAACAAATGAACAAATAAACAAGGACCTCCTGTCACCGGTTAGTGCCATTACGTGTTTTGCCCATTTGACATTAGGTATTCAGTCTAACTGTTATTTCGACCAGCTTCGTGAACGTTATAAGGTTAAAGTAGTCGATCAATAAATATAGCCGTAAAATCCGCCCCTCCACTGACTCGTTAATCCGATGGTTTTCCGGCACAAGCCGGGGTGACTTCTGCGCCCGTTTGGACCCAATCGTCAACACGGAGTAATGAGATAAACATTCAACTTGTAGATTTCCTAACGCCAAGGCCGTATCAGTGCTGTGTTTATAGAGGGCTGACATTTAACACTTAAGGCTTTGGTCGGCTTCGTAGAACAAGGAAAGAGACAAGTGGGTGCAGTGAGATTTGTGGCTCCCACTGCTATAATTATTATAATCGTCTTTCAGAACATTCTACTTGTCACTACAAAAACAGTATAATATTACTCTCATCAGATAGCCCCAGTGAAAGAATAAGATCAGTATCGTGGTGTTTTGAAAGGTATTTCAAACTGCATCTGTCTGTTTCCCATATCTGCGTCTCCGCTGGGAGAATCATTTCTCAGACCCGTAATCCGTGAGGGGAGAGCGTCCGGTTCCAATGGGTCTTGTGTTTATACCAGGGTGACAAGTCTGTTGGCCTGGGAGGCTTTAAAGTCTCGTGGTCTAGAACTGGGCTTTGCAGCGGGCGCTTCTGATCTCTTCATTGACTCGCTGACTTTTCAGAATAAGAAAGAGGCATTATAAAAAAAAGGAAAGAGAGATCTGAAAAAGACAAGGGGTGGTGTGGGAGTTATTGTGTGTTTAACGTCTATATAGACGAGGTCAGCGTTTGAAAGAAAGCAAAGGGCTTGAGGGGGATAGGGTTGAGATAAGGAAGGAAGGGGATAGGAGGAACAGGGATGCGTTGGGGAAGGTTGATTAATCCACAGCTATGGTTCGAAAGAAAAAAGACCCCGCGCGTACACTTTTTTAAAGTTAAAAAAACACATCAAGAAAGCGATGATACCCACGCCTCCTCAACCAACATCCTCAGTAACTTCAAAATTCTAAAGAAAAACATTCGAGAGGAACATGTAAAACAGTTTAAGTAAGGGCGGGGGCGAGTGTTGTGTAAGAGAAGAAACAGGCCTCAGTAGGCCTCAGTCTCTGGTTATGTAAAGTCTGCCCCCCTCACCCACACACACACACCTCTACAATAGATTCTTGTCACTTAGATCGCGATCATGTTTTTCTTCAAGTGCACTCGAGAGAAATGCCATGCATAGATCT